GAGAGGATGCGGCATCAGCTGGCAGTCACTAGGTGGTCATAGATACCAGTGTGGGTCCCATGGTAATGCGATTTATGGCCAGAAACTGTGGCATCATGGCATACGCTGCCATGTAGGTCCTATAATGTTAAACAACAGAGCAATAACTGACATTTGTTCCTTGTTTCCTTTGTGCCTGGCATGGTATAGTCACTTTCTAGTCATTATTCATCTTCTGCATATTAACATGTTTAACAGATAAGGGAAGCCAAGACTTAGAAACATAAATTGTTTAAGAAGTCACAGTCACTGTTACTATCACTGGGGGCTTATTTTTTAAATTTATTTTTATGCTTTCATTCATTATTTGAATTTTTAAGATATAAAACATTTTTATAAAGTTATTATATTTTAAAAAGAAAACTTGGTTATTTTTGCCCTACAAAACTTTCTTATTTTTATGTATTCACATTTATCAGTCTCTTTTATGGTTTCTGAGTTTTACATCCTTTTTTAGAAAGAACTTCCCACTTCAAAATGTTTTAATCTTCCATGGTATCTTCTAGCACCTTCATAGTTTCCTTTTTATATTTAGATATTTGCTGCATAGAGAATTTATTTTGGTATGAGATACGAGAATATCTTTCAACCTTGCTGGCTACCTGGCTATACCAACATCATTTATTAATAATACATCTTGTCTGCAGTGATCGAAAGGGCTATCCTGATCATACACTAAATCTGTGCATCTGGAGGTATATTTTTTATTTCACAAATAGCAACTATAACTGTTGGCACAAATTTAAGCATCTCACAAAATACAATTTTCAGTAACTTTTTATGTAGGAACAGGAAAGTATTTGGCACATGGGTAAGACAGCTCTTGAGCCAGTGAACAAATAGACCTGACTACCAGCCACACTCAACCCTGCTTTTTTTTTTAAATAACTCCACTGAGGAAACAGGGTCAGCTCTGAACTACAGAGGTGGTTTTGCATGGGAAAAATTCCACATCTTAGGCTGAGTCTTCTTTCTGCTGCATAATAATATTGCTTAACTGTGCTGTGAAGCATATTCTATTTCTTTAAAAAAAAATCTTCCAGGTACACACCCCTGGACTATGCTCTGCTTGGTGAGCGCCATGAAGTGATCCAGTTCATGTTGGAGCGCGGTGCCCTCTCTATCGCAGCCATACAAGACATTGCTGCCTTCAAAATCCAAGCTGTCTACAAAGGGTACAAGGTCAGGAAAGCTTTCCGAGACCGGAAGAACCTGCTAATGAAGCATGAGCAGTTGAGAAAAGATGCTGCCGCCAAGTAAGTGTGAGCAGTGGAGATGTGTGTTCTCACAACTCAGAATCAGGGTAGGGGGCTGGGGTCCTGAGATGGCCAGGAAAGAGAATAAGGAACAAGTCTGCTTTCCTTTTGGTCCCTGTACTCTTGTCTCTACCTTAGTTATTTTTCTCTTGCTGCTGAGACAAAATACCCACACCCAAAGGTAAAGGGAAGAAGGGTTATTTAGTTCATGGTTTATAGTGGTTTCGGTCCATGATAGGCTGGCTTCAAGGCGGGGTGGCATGGCAGACCAGCATTGTAGAGGAGAAACAGCTCATAGCAGGCAGACTGCAGCAAAGAAAGAAGAGACAACTGTAGCTCCTTCTATCCTTTATATCTTATCCAGGCTACTTAGGGTAGGTAGCACTCACACTCTTAACCTAGTGCGCTTGATCCTAGCATTACAACATGAATCAATCACAGCATCACACACTAGATCCAACCACCTCTGAAAAGGCCCCACCTATGCCCTCATGAGCCTTTTACAGGAACATCTAAAACCAAGCCCATTCTGCTCATCACTGTCTTCAGGGCAGAAAGGCTAAGTGAACGATGAATGCCTGACCTCTTTTTGGTGGCTATTTTTTATGGATTAGAACCTGATGGTCGAGCCCTAGGAAAAAAAGGGAGTTAGACACAACTAGAATGAGCAGTAAAGAGATATCTGGTCTCCTTGCCCTTCCTCTTCAAAAGAAACTTATACCAATATGTAGCCTACTTTTACTGGACTATCTACATTTAGCTTCATTTTGTAAAGCAACCAGCCAAATAACTGGCTCTGCCCCACCAATGCCTGCGTCACCAAATCTGCACTAAATACAGTTGTCCCTCCGTGTCCCTGGGGGATTCATTGTTTCCAGGACTGATGATGCCAAAATCCACAGATGTTCAAGATCCTTATATAAAATAGCACAATCTTTGAAAATAACCTACATGCATCCTCCCCATAGAATTGAAGTCATCTTTAGATCACTTGTACCTAATACAATGTGAGCGATATGTAATCCTACTGCATTGTTTAGGAGACAAAGACCAAAAAATCCGAACATGGTTAGCACAGGTGCAATTGTTTTTGAATATTTTCAATCGGTTAGTTGAATGTGAATATGCAGAACTAATGGATATGGAAAACTGACTGTAGAGTATTTTCTTGAAGAATTATTAGTTGACTGCTTAATATGCTTAAAAAGCCATTGGCAAGAGCCAAGGGTAAGATAGTGACTTAAAGCAGAGACTGTACTTCATTAAGGACTTCTCTTTTTTGAACAATCATGCAAAATACACCAAAAGCCATTTGTGCCTATTGCATATTGTGATTTTATCACCTAAAAACTGATAGAAGATTCTGTTCTGGCCTTTGCTTTGATACTTGTGCTAGACAGGAGTATTTGGAATATCAGCAGCATACTGGATGAGCAAATGCAGATGGCAGCATCTCTGAAGATGAAGAAGTGGGTCATGGGCTGATTTCTACGGCTAACTTCATGGATGTACATGTATGAAATGCCTCCAGTTTGAATCATTCAGCTCAGATCCCTGCACATCTTGGCCACAAGGGGGAGGCATAAGTGTAATAAAAATAGCCATTAAAATTAGTAATACGTAGATAGCTTAAATGAAGTAACAAAGCAAGATAAAACATTTTAATGAGGAGTTAAATATCACTGTGTACTAGGATGCTAACCATAATTTCAAAGTTCCATAGACAAAATTGGCGAAAAACATTTTCTGTCACTTGGAAGCTATTTACATTCTAGGATATAGTGTCTTGCACTGTTCTCTTAATGAGGTTCTCTTCCTTCCACTTGTGCCAGAGAATCCAGCACT